CTTGTCTTTATTTATTCAATATTTTTTTTGCTCTGCTATGAATCGGTATGATTTGATTGAAGAATAATGAGACATACAGATCAAGTAGTGTAATAAATGGACAATAAATACCTGGAAGGGAAGTTGACACCTAGCTAACAAACGGAGCACCTTAGGAGGAACTCAAGAACAAGAGCGATTGAACAACTACCGTGCTATTGATTGAAGATGAAAACTATAACCTAAAGATAAATAGAACAAGTCCATAACTCATAACAACTGCTACCAAAAATACTATGATGAAAAATCACAACATTCGAATAAACTGAAATAGAATCCATTGAAGAGACCTTGGTTTGAAAGGGGATTAAACATGTTGAAAAAGCATTGAAATGTTTGTGATTTGTCTAAGTTTCTGTGAGGACCAATCTTGAATTCTTGGGTTTGGAATGACTGGTCAATATGGCATGGATTTGAAGGAGGATAAAAATGGAAAAAAGATTCTCCATTTGGTATCTTCCTCTAGAAATTGGTTCCTTCTTTGGAGTTTCTAGATTTTTTTTTCAGTTGATAAAGAATTTGTCAACTCAAATTTGTAATTTGAATGAGATAATTAGTAAGAAAGGGTAGAAATTAGGAAGAGAGAAAGAAAGGGAGTGGAAAAATGAGAGCAAGATTATTGCTGGCATAGAGATTTGCCAGCAATGCTGTAAAAGTGAAGAATAGGAGTAGCAGACTGATATTCCTTTCTTTTTATTTTTCTAGTATCTAACTCCAAGTAGATACCCATCTTTTTGTTGCAATATTTCAGGAATGTTAGACTCCTAATTCATGGCACACTGCCATCTCTATTAGATTCTATATAAGACATTAGCATTATGGACTAGATTGTTGACTTTGATGCAATAGCTAAAGGCTACATGCCATTTTTAAAATATATTATCCTCAAGTGTAATTTTGGGTAAAAACCATCCAGAATCAATATGTAACATACCCCATTCTTTTCTTCTCTTTTATTTTTGTATACCTCTTTTGCTTTTTCTTGTTGTATGTTCTTTGATCAGAGCTATGAGCTCTCCCATGTCTAAGTTCTTTCTTGTTGCATTTTATTGCATAGGGTGAGATAGGGATGCAGCAAATGGGATTGCAAGCACGTCTTATAAGCCAGGCTCTACGTAAGATGTCAGGAAATGCCTCTAAAGCTAGTTGGACACTAATTTTTCTTAATCAAATAAGATATAAGGTACTTTGGATTAAGTATAAGTTGTTTTTTTATAGATGAAGTAAAAGCAATTGCAGTTCGAATCAAGAGGGCACTGATGTGTCTAATCCATACTATTTGTTTGGAACATCTTTTGTTGCATCTCTCTATGATTTTAGACTAGATTAACATGGCATTTTTTCAATTTTTTCTGCTTTTTTGCCTTCTTTTCTTTCCCTTTCTGCCTATTGATAGTATTGTTTTGTTGATTTTGCAAGATTGGAGAATATTATGGGAACCCAGAATTGACTAGTGGAGGAATTGCATTAAAGTTCTTTGCCTCAGTTCATCTTGAAATATGTACTACTGGGAAGATAAAGTCTGTAAGCACAGTAGCTACTTGATTTTTCACTACAGATTTCTGTTTTATTACTCAATATGTAATCATCGTTATAGCATAATTCATGTTATTCTAGGTTAAAGGTGATGAGGATATCGGGCTTCGTGTTCTTGTAAGAGTGCAGAGAGTAAGGTACATAAGAATTATATCAGCAAATTTGAAGATATTAGGAAGTTAATAAACTTGATTCTATTTGTTAGGCTGAAAACGACAAATTGGTAATGCCTGCCAAAAGGCCATTAGAAACTGTTATATTGATTTCAGGTAGCCTAGACGTGGCCCTTTTGGCTTATAGTACTGCTTTCATCACAAAATACAAGGGAGACTCTAAATCCTAGGATCCTGAGCAAAAGGGGAAGATATGAGTGATAGCCCAAAAAACAGGAAAAGGAAAGGAACATAAATAATAAAATTTGATGCCTTTTATGTTAATTATAATATCATGCAGGAATCAAGTTTTTGGGGGAAAAAAACTAAATTTATCTTGGGACAATTAGCAAATATTCTCTGAACTATTCTCGTTATTCTATTTTCTGGTAAACTTTCAGTAAATCAGTTGTTTATGAATGATATAACTTGAGCATCTTTCAAGCTGCTATGCCATTAGAATAGAAGTCAAACCATATCCATGGTCAAAATGACGTGATAGTACTTCATATTTCTAGTGAACATGTGTGGCCGTACCCAAATTGATTGTTGTTGCAGGTCTCAAGGCCTTACAAGCAAGCAGAATTTGAAATCATATTTGGAGAGTGAGCAAACTGGTTAGTAATGCAATCAAATATTTACATTCATCCAAATTTGCAAACTTTCTCTTTGTTTTGAAATTGAAAGAATCTACAGGGATGCATTTTGGATTGTTCTGAAATGATGGATGCTGTTGTAAAGAAGGGCTCTTGGTACAGCTATGGGGACCGTAGGTTTGCTTTCAAGCTTGTCTTTGCTACCTCAACTGTTAAGAGCAATTTAGATATTTTTTTTTTTTCTGTTTTCTATTGTTTAGATTTTAAAAGCTGATCCCTAAGAGTTTGACTTATTAATATATACACTTGACATTACTTTGTTTTAACTTACTAATACTGAGTGGCAGTAGGGTAGTTACCATTTGAGTAAATTTCCTCATAAATAACTAAGTTGGTTTTTTTTGTTTTTTTGTTGGTCTTCTTCAAGCTCCAAAGTTTTAAAATATTACTGTATCAAATTATTTGAACTACTCTTAAGTATTTGCAAATTTGCTAGAAATTAAGCCTGTGAAGCTGTTATCAACTTGTTGACAATACATGTTTGTAGGCCTCGTACATAAGCAAATTGCCAATAGAATTGCTGTGGAGTTCTCTTCATTGCTTTAAATTGATGCATTTGCTTTTAACCTTATTTTTTCAGAGTATTAATTAGTATTAGTTACCTTGTAAAGAAATTGGTTCTGTCCAAAGTTTTGTTCACCAAGACTGTTGAGAAATATGTCACTAAACTAAACTTTATCTGGTCGTTTAGAGAGAGAGAGAGAGAGAGAGAGAGAGAGAAGAAAGCCAGCACTAATGTCATCTTGTAGCCAATAGGAAAGAACCATTTATCATTCCTCATGCTAAGGGTGATATGTTGTGGCAAAACACAACTTTTCCTCTCAAGAAAGGCAATGTTGGAAATTGAATGTGCTGTCCCAGAATAGGAGAATGAGCACCATTTGGAGTCCCCAAGTTGGGACCTTGAAAGAGTGTGTTGACTGTTCTATCACAACCCTTCTATAGTATGACCTGCCATGGTGAAAACAAAATTAGTGAACTTGGCATTATACTCCTCAAATTCGAAAAAGCAAGTATTTATGATTGAGGCCAATAGTTTTAAAATTATTACATATTTTTCCAATTTGAAGGCCACTAGGTTTCATATCGATCAAAAAGCTTTTCATTAACATGTCTTACTTGTTTTTCACTCCTTACGTCTGGTGCAATCTGCTAAATATGATTTTAATTTTGAGTCCATGTTAGCATGTGGCGTTTTCTACATAAGCTAACTCATGGACTGCTGACATTGACACATCAAAAAGACCTGCGTTACTGAATGTTCTATGCATTTTTGAGGCTGACTGGTAGATGTTTTTTCAGTTGATGCAACATGTTAGACTTGTATGCAGACTCATCAAATTTTGTCCGGTAGTGAAAATTCTTGCTTCTTGAAACTTTAATTGGAAATGTCAGGCTGGTAGATTTAGCTACTGTATGAGGCTATTTTTGGTGTTGGGTGAGTTATTTACAGTATCATAATCTCTGAGCGATTTCTCATGTTCAATTATTTTGCAATTTTACAGAGATTTCACTTGTCTGTTTGAACTAGCGCATCATGTTCTGTCTCAAAGTTCTAGAAGTTAGACTTACTATGGTCCTCTTTTCTATACATTTTAAAGGTTGGGGCAAGGGAGAGAGAGAGCACTACAATACTGGAGAGACAACCCTGTTCTTCGTGACGAAATAGAGAAGGTTCGGTTACATCCACACTACATATCTGTATTCTGTTATGCTGTTAATTGAAACTTAGTCCACTTTAATCTACTGATGGTAAATGAAGCTCCAAACTGCTTATTCTTTTGTAATATGACTAGTTGAGAAGGAAATAGATTTTAAAATAGCAATTAATAACCCCATTTCCTAATTTTTTGTTCTTCTGGTTTCTTTTTCTCTCTCCCATTCCCCTTCCAATTTCTCCTATCTCAGTTCTCAGATATGAGTTTTCTTCTTTGCCTCTCTTCTCTTTAAGCTTTCTCTTCTCCATTGCTCTGTTAGCGATAGTGGTTTGCACTCTCTTCTCTTGACTTTTCTCCTGATTTTTGCCATCAAAACAGAAGAATTTCGGCAACATTGCTCCATTTCACTTCTTTTGTCTCTACTCCAGTTATCCAAACAAATTGTAAGAATAATTTCTTTAAGTGTAATTTTGAAGCATCACTGCTAACCCAAAATTGTTTGGGACAAAAGCCTTCTATAGGCTATAGTCAAAATAGGTGAGTCTATATTATGAGGAACGGAGATTGGTTTGGTTGTTTTGCTCCACTTGTAGTTTTGCTCTTTTTATGAACTGTTCTTTTGTCAATTACGGTTGACTACTAAGTACTGATAAAAGTTCTTCCAGCTTTTGTTAACACAGTCGCCATAGTTCTCTTTTTCGGATCTGCAGATAGTTCGGTCGATGATGACTGATGGAACCGAATATTTGAGCTCAACTCATGTAAAGAGCTTGTCACTGCCCCCTCAAGATGAAAATATTTATGAAGAGGTATGATGGGATTGAACCAATTTTTACTATCAAGATTAATATTCAACAATTTTCCTCTTTCTGAATCTATTACCAATTGATAATTTATATATTTTATATTTTGATATCAAATACATATAAAATATAAAATTTATTATATTACAATTCAAATTAATACACCAAACATAATATGCCTTTTTATTTTTGTTAAATTTTTATATGATGAACAAGAACCACATTAAAAGTTATAATAGACCTAGATTCAATCCAGGCAAACCATTCTACACAGATATGGAAAATAGTTCTTCAAGGTATTTTGATTCTAACAATTACATTGGACAGGCTATAACACAACAAGGGCAAGGATTACAATAGAGAAATCTACTGTACCAAAGCACTTGTGTTGTAAACGAGAAGAGCACCGCCGGCAAGAAGACCAGCTAGGGTAACCGCCCAGATTGCCAATCCGGTGGTACCTGAAACAACGACAATGTTTAAATCACATAATTAGTTTCGAAGTACAAACCAAATTCACTCTTTTTAAGTGTGGCAATTATTTGAACAATAAGATCACAGAACTCAAGTACGGTGTTTAATGATACGTACCGCCAACATAAACATCACCGCTGGGAGACCAGTCTCTGGTGTCGTAGATAGGGCTGCATTCCAACCATCAGAAAAAAGATATCAGGACTTACTTCCTTCCATGGCGATTTTAGTATTAAATCATAGCTTTAGCAGAACGAACATAAGTTCTTGTACCAGTGTCATTACTTATAAGCCAAGACTTGAAAACAAGTTCACTTCAAACTTGAACTAATGAACTGAAAACCTAAGAACATTTGCACTATAGCTTCACTTGCTCTAACTTAATATTATAATTCAAATATTTGCTTATACAAACACTCGAGAGTGGCTTTCTCTCGGTCTGCATCTTCCACTGTACATAATAATTTTAAACTTGACATGAAAATAAAAAAATAAAAAAATAATAATTTAAAATTTTGATAAAAATAAAAAATATATATATGTATATATATATGTACGTGCATGTACATTGTATGTACAAAAAAGAAACACCTAAAGGGTATGCTTATTTGATTACATTTGTAACTAGATTGCGACTGTGTATACAAAGTGGTTTTACTTATTTTATATGGGTATATACGTATAAATTAGTTTTTTTTCAAAATTATATTTAAATTTTTAAAATTTATAACATAAATAAAATTCATATATTATGACTCCTCATAAAAAAATAAACTTCTTAAAAAAAGAAAGAAAAAAATGATATGTTTTCACTTTAAACCATTTTTATCTACAATAATATTATATATTTATAAGATTATATTAAATAAAAATAAATTTTGTTTTTCTTAAAAAGCAAAAATGTATATATTATTGAATGATGAATTAAATAATAAAAAATATTAATATATTTCACTTTTGTAATATTAACCAAATTTATGTACAAAATATGAAAAATATTAAGATATGTGAAAGAAGAAATAAATTCAAAAAAAAAAAAAACTTTTCATACGAAGTAAATTACAATAGTAATAAAATATATCTCGGAAAAGAAATTGTAAATAAAAAAAAAAAATTACAATTGTAATAGAATATACTTTGAAAGCAAGTTACAAATTTATATAACACATCACATTTATATTTATAGTCCTAAATTTGTAAAAGAACTTTTTAGTAGCAATTAGGATTGAATAAATGATTTTCAAATTAATTTTTTAAAATTCAAAAGGGATATAATAAGTGATAAAGATGATATAAGATTTTTTACATATATTTGAAATATAAATTTGATAATTAGAGTTGAGATTAATAAAATCCCTTTTATGATCTTATTATTTAAAGATTTAATATGAAAAATCGTTTGAATTTTTAATGTCTTATATAAAATTTTGAAACTGATAATTTTTTGTTGATTTATATCATAATAAAAAGAAAAATTATTGAAAGATTTGAATAAACTTAATCTTTACATTAGATTTCTAATTATAATTTGAATAATTTTGATATTTAAATAAATTTTACGTATGTTATAATATATATATATATATATATGATTTCTATTCATATGTTATGTATTATCCATATATGTGAGTCTTAACATGCATATGCATACTATGTGAACTATGACAAGCATAAGCATTATTATTATTATTATTATTATTATTATTGAAATAAAAGGAGAATATCATATACCTGTACCCATCGACGTTAGCACCGTATTTGTCAACAAATTGGTAAACACCCTTTCCCTACATCAATTTTCAACATCAATTTGTGAGCTCATGACACATATAACATAAATGCAAATCAAACAAATTTTGCCAAAGTATACAAAGAAGAAAAAAAAAATCCAATTAGGTTTTGTGAAGTTGGAAAGAAAAAGTTAAAAAAAAAAAAAACCAACTTTAGCCTTCCTTCCAGAGGCATCAAGACCATCCCTCAAGCTCATGCCACCACTGATTCCTGTATAACCCATTCAAAATTCATTGTTAAATTTTATAGTTAAATCATTTTATAAATTAAAAAAAAAAAAAACCCAAATGAAGCAAAATTCGAACCTCTCTCGCTTTTTCATATTTTTAATGAATTTTTGAATTATAATAAAATATTTAATGTGATGAGATATTTGATTTATAGACATGTATTTCAATTATCAAATTAATTAATTGATTGATGGTTGAAATATCGTATTAAAAATTTTTAAAACTGTTGTTGAAATGCAGTCGGAAACGCTTACCTTCTTAATTATATGTAAAATGGAACAAAAGTGCTATAAAAAAAAGTAAGGAAAAACAGATTGAAAACAGACCATAAGGCTTGTCAGTCTTGATCTTGCGCTCCTTGGCTTGAACTTTGAAATAAGAAGGAGCCCTGGCAAGAGATGGGACACCTCTAACAACTAATTTCTCAACACCTAAAGAAGGTTTGAGGGTAACTGAAGAAGCCATAACTGAGGCTGCCATTTTTATTTTTCTTCGCACTGACCAAAATGTGGTGTTTACTCAAAAATGGTTGCTTATAGAAATGAGAGGATAACAGGATGGAAAATCTGAAGATAGTGATTGTCATTTTGACACGTGGCGATCATATGTGGCTGATATCTGGATAATGAACGAACATTATCAGCTATTTCTCCTCCTCTGACACAATCTTCAGTGGCTGATACCCATTTCCATTTGTTGCCACATGAGCTTACTTATATTATTTGCTTTTTTGTCCTTGCAAATCTTCAAATTATTCAATTACCACATTTTGGAAGAAGCAATCAAAAGGTGGTCTTTTCATGCTACATCAACGTTTTAATTTTTATAATTTTATATATAAAAAAAAAAAAAAACTTGATGTTTGGATCAAACCAAATAAAACAAAATGCAATTTAAATTCTAGGGTTAACCCCAATTAATTTTATGAAGTGACATTAGAGAAGTTTAGAATATAAATTCTAATGGTTGCAATTTTTTTTTTTGCGACCTATTTTTTATAAAAATGCAAATTAATTAGAAATTGAAATTAACCTTCAAAACCCCACAATTTTAATAATAATAATAAAAGTTGATAGACTCATACATCAAAACCCAACTCAAGGTAACTTTTATAAAATAATTAGTTCTAATTATAACCCACATGCTCCAACAAAGAGCTCAGCTTATTGCAATTCAAATATTATTTTTCTTTGGAAGAACCAAATATGGTTTCTCGTATTATTAAAATCCAATTGCTCCAACTGGGTATAGTTGCAGCCAACATGATAGGAAAGCATTCTGCAGAATTACTATAGGCTACTAAGCATGCTTTGAAGCTTTGAGGCTGCGGCCAAGCCGCTGAGAATTGCACCTTCAACATTAGGACTAACACAGAAATCTCCACAGATGGCCAGTCTCTTCTTCTCATCCCACAGGCATTTCTCTTCCTTTGCTATGCTTGCAGCTGGGAAGGCACTTCCCCTGAAAATACGCCATGAGGCAAATATAAATGTTTTAGGACGGCCGCAAGGAGAATATAAGAACAACATAATGAAGGTCATACTTTGTTTATAAAATTTGTTGAACGATGTCAAGTTCTAATGTCTTCATCAATTTTCAATCTCAATGACATAAAACATCCATGACATGTACGAAAGGAAAAGATTCTTAATTCTGTGACTTGTTTCCATAATCAAATGAGAATTGTAAAGGAAGAGACAGACAGTTTTGAAGTAAAGAATCAAATAAATCCTACTGCTTTTAACTCAAAGAAATATGTAAGTAAAACTCAAGGTCAACTAATTAAAGCCTATCAAGTTCACAGCTACGCTTCCCATCATTGGACACCTTCCATATGAAGGCTTGGTCATTAAAACCAGCTTTAGCATGCCCTTCAAACACTTTTGATGGCTGCTGCCAGCATGCCCTCTATTAGTCGGCCAATAGAGGCCAACAAAAATGCATCTGAACTTGAATGCTATAGCTAATTTGGGGGACAAGTAAGGGTCATTTGTTGGTTAAGACGGTAACAAGTACAAGATCTAGCGACGTAAATACACTAGAAACAAGCTGGTCTGCCGAAATCAGCAGGACTATATATTATTTAAATCATCCTTTATTTCAAACATGACAATTCTACTAACCCAAATCTATCTAAAGATGACAATTGAACTCACAAAACAACCTCAATGTATATAAAGATAACATATAAAAAAATTACAAGTTAAAATCCTTTTTCAAACATCTCTTTAAATTTTCCATCATTTCTCCGTCTAATTTCTTCCCTTTGCAATCTAAAATGTTCTTAATCAGTCGTAATATTGAGCCAAAAATTTCCTAAGAATCAACTAAGACTAGGAGACAAAACACCAGACCCACATTCTATGAGTATGCAAAGTAATCTTAATCAGTTATCACTGCATCTGTCAGGGACTAAACACATTACAAGGTTTATTCTTGTTTTTAAACAGAAGAGAAAAAAAAATTTACAGCTTTACTCACTAAACAAAATGAGGACAAACTGCCGCTTCTGTGTTTGAATTTATGGCTTTAGTTTAGAGACTCACTCACCATCTATGAGCTTTCTTGAAAAAGGGCTGTGGAATACTGAGACCTGTGCCTAGAAATTCTTGGAGCATTTCATTGCCCACTTTTGATAATGTTTCTTGTGAAGGTTTCTGAAGGCCAGTTTGAGCAATCACATCCTTTGCATACTCCATTGTCGAATGTAATACCCATCGTTCACTTTGCATTTAAGAAGCAACCAAGATAAGAAATGCAAAAAAAAAATAATAATAAGAAAAAGAAAATACTTCAATTGCTTGGCTCAGAAATTGGGTCATTCTGCAATAAACAAAAATGTACCTTGTGCAAGAACGCCCTGGCTTGCTGCTTTCACAGTAAGCCCAACTTAAAACCTTAGAATTGGTTAATGAGAAGCCCTTTGCCGGTACCTGAATTATCGAACTTAAAAAAGATGTCAAGAGCGCATTATTGGTTAATCACAAAATAAATGGGGACGGTCAGAAAATATAAATAACTAGGAACTAGAAATAAGAAAATGTATCAGAAGGAAAAGGAAGGAGAAACAATAGAAAAAGGGGGGAGGGGATTCATGCAAATAAGTAGTTCAGATCATGCAACCACATTAATTTGGCAGAATAAAAACTCTTAGGTCAAGTTGGCTGATATCTCACCAAAGACAAAGGATCAGAAAATGCTACCATTAGAGCAAAACAAGGATTAACGGGAATATTGCGCAGTTTCACCAACTCTGGAGCCAAACTCAAGTCTGTATGTAATACAATGGTTAGGATAACAACTTGTCAAAAACACATGCCATTCTTCTGTGTTTCCCATTTTTCCTTCAAAATATGATTAAAGAAGATGAAGATGCCCAAACTGTTTAGAAAAAGTAAATCTGATGCTTTCGTAGTTATGAGAATATATTAAATACAATTTTGAAGGCTACTTAATGTAAAGGATAAATTTCCTTATCTGATAGATGCAATGAATTCACCTTCATAATTTCCCTTCTAGATTCATAGGAATATTTCGGATTAGTAAGTATATGCCTATATATTTTTGTACCTAAAGATTGGAAGAGTAGATGTTTGTGATAATTTGAGTTCTTGCTGAGTTCTTGGAGAACTTTTGAATTGCATCCACAGGATACAGTTTATAGCACAAAAAACATGTCCTTGAACATGGTTTCTTCCCCTCTTATGCAATTCAATTAAAATCTGCTTTCTTAGAGTTGAAGCCCTAAAATCCCATTTGTATCACATATTTCTAACACTTAGACCCTCCAATTATTTTATTTGAATCAAAGCATGTTTTCTGCCCCGAATTTTGAGCTACTAACTTACCAAGTTCCAGCAACTATATTCCCAAAAACTACTATCACTTCACAGCAATAGAACTATTGATCCTCAACACCTTTATTTGTAACCATTAATAGCAAAACCGACTGCAAGCCAAATACATAGATCATTCTAAAGTCATACATCAATTTTAGATAAATCCAGAGGCTGAGATTCTCTAGACGTAACTGTTCTCAGATTTCAATATAGAAAATGGGGCTCCAACGCTTGATATGGGAAATTAGTTGTTTACATTTTCAGCCACTTGGGCATGGGTTTTAGGATGCTTAGGAGGATTATCGCTTTTCTCTATGCAATTCTGCCAATGAGTATGTGTAAACTCTTTTCTGTTCTGTATCATGTATCAAGCTGCATTGTCTTGATCACTTTTGTCAATTTGGTTATTACAAAGAGAGGAGGGGCTTGAAAAATAAGTAAAGTGATAGAAGCAAGGAGATTAAAAGGAATAAAAAATTGTGTTCATAAAACTAGACATAAAAATTCAAATTCAGAATAGGAAAGAATAAATAATGAAGCTTAGCAAAGATAAAACCACAACCCCAAGCAACCCTCTAAAAATGATTGCTTAAAAGAAATATATAAAGTCGAAGCATGTACATGAACCATTGATGGATGAAAATAACCATGAATTAAGTCACCTACAAAGATATTTATTGCAGCATATTTTCATTTAAACCAAAATTACATCTAAACTCTAATAACAATGTTTGATAATATTTTCAATGAACTGCCAAGAATTAAAAGAAGATAAAAAGTGAATAGAAATTAAATGAAGATAAAAAGTTAATAGAAAAGAGTCATCTGAAAGCTCCAGAATATAAGATGGGAGATAAAGCATAATATGCATATCATATACCTCTTTAACATGTCTTATTTAATATTAAACTTGTCTGGTCTGTCTGCGAGACAGTCTTATCACAATTGCCAAGCAATAAGACATATAGTGCATTAGCTCTAAGCCAAAATACTGCTGAAGCATCAAACAGACTGTCTCCTAAGAGTATAGTCCATGGTTGCACTAAATAATTACACAAGGTCCTTAGTCACATAAATCATAAAGAATATCTACACGATGAAATAGCATGCACATATGAATTTGCAAGAAGGAATTAACAAACATCTAAAGATAAACTTCCATACCAAGAGGGGGTGATTGTCCTGTTATCTCTGTAAACCTTGGAGAAAAGATGTTTTTGTCTGATGCAACCACTCCGTTAAAATGACCAAGATTCTGTCCATCCAAGCCCATCAACGACCATAAATTCTCAGGTTCTATACATTCAAACTTCCCAACACCCACATTAAACTTACTCTCTACTCCTGGAGAACAGATAAAGTAGAAAACAAGGAAATTTTGATGTATATCCAACCTTGATGATTAGTTCAAAAAATAAAGCAGTCATCTTGCTACAAACCAGGTTCATGGCATAATGCTCTGCAAATGGAATTCATTCTAGGCACACCAACATATTTCTTGCTTGGTCTTTCCTAAAAGGGAATTAAACATTATTTGATAAAAAAAAAAAAGCATAATGGACGCATACAATGTCTTTTTAAGAACAAAGGTGATAAATGCAATGAGTTTTGCACATTTAGTTTTTCCATCTGATGAAATAAATGTTACTGAACAAAGCCAATTACAAACAAGGCTTACAATCAATATTTACTTTGAAACACTTTTCAGTTGGCATGAAATTATAGCATATATGCCAGAGCACAGAAGACTGATTGGAATGGTTCCCCTCCTTTTTCTTACTTGAACATATATACACCACAAGGAAAGGAGTCTGTAGTGTATTAACAGCAATGATGCCAAACAGTAGAATCCTTGCAAAGTCATAAGAAATCACCAGTTTTTAAAAAACCAATTGGAAATCTGTGTAGAAAAATTATCAACAATAAACATCCAAATCACTAATGGGGCTGGACGTTGACCAACTATGCAACAGCTTTCATGGATAAGTTGACTTTGGAATTGAAAGAAAGACAACCATAACAGCCTATGCTGATGAATGGTTAAATAAAAGAAACCCGTGATCGACCCAACAGCTAGATACAAGAGAAAATCAAGATGAAGAACACACAAACATAAAACAAACACTATAACAAGCAGCGCAGATTCTAGATTCCAGGAGTTGCAAGCACTTCAGAAGTAGGATCATTAACATCAAGAAAAAAGAAAAAGTTTCAAGCTGTTTCAAATCAAACAAACAGCTTTAATTTCAAGAAACAGAAAAGAATGCAACAACTGAAGCACGCAAGCGCTTCAAAAATATCACTGCCCTCCCCTACACAAGTTAAGATATAACATGCAAATAAACAAATACTAGTACAAGGTAGTGGAGTAAAAGAACAAATGTGATCTAATCTTTCTATCAAGCATGACTTTCATTATATTGTAAATTATAAGGTAGGGGGCCATGAAAATATTCTCCAGTGCTTAGTCCTTGAATCTAAAAAGAATATAAATATAGAAAATAATAATCCACTTTGAATTCGAATGTTCGAATGAAAATATATACATTATATTGTTTCCAGATATCTCAATTGATCAAATTCTAAGCAATTGCCCTCTCTTGATAACTGCCCAAAATAACTGCTTCAAATAATAAAGATTATTCTATTAAGATTTTGAGACGAATGAGCTCCCGTCTATATCAAGATATCAGAGGTGTTGTTTTTTTTTGTTATAAACAACCAAATTGTACATGTATAATAATTTAATTAGAAACTGTATAATTTAACTCTAATAAGTTATTACTCTAATGAGTTAGAGTAGAGTGATTCAAAAAGAAAGTTGAACATTTGTTTATTATAATGAATAATGATAAGTCGTCTCTTGAATTGACAAATATATATATATATTTTTTATTTTGCATTATATTATTCCAATCAAATCCATTGTAAAGAATTGTAAAGATTAGAAATCAACAAAAGAAAAAGTAAGTGGATCTAACCCATAGAGTAAAGTGCATGTGAAATTTATAATAATAACAATAATAGTTGTGAGAACCTGGTTTTCAGTGTTGACAAATTTGTTAGAGAAACAATCAAAAGACCCAAAATTTAGTTTCCATTCAGCAACAAGGCCTCTTGATTCCCATTCAGCAACAACACTCAACACATCAGGATTTGTCACTGTGAAATAAGGAGCACCATGGTCGAATAACAGCTCTTTCCCATCTTCACTTATCTCTCTACAATTTCAAAGTTTCCCAAAATAATAGTAACTATAATTCACTAAACTATCAACTTAAAATTTCATTTCTGCTTTCCAAAACACCATCAAACAATAAAATATAAAAAAAGGTAGTCAAATTTTGTCAAGGAAATTCATTTTTTTTAAAATGAAAAGAAACGAAAGGAACCTTCTTTGAGACATGCGGCCGCCAGGACCTCTAGCAGAGTCAAAAAGGGTCACCGAAATTCCATTCCTTGCCAGAGTAGCCGCACAAACAGCTCCTGAAACTGTCGGCTCAAAATTTTCAAAGAAGCAATCTATTTTGAATGATATATATATATATATATATATATATATATAGATTGAAATGAGAAAAAGAAAAACAAAAGTGGGTTATGGTTGGTATAATACTTCCGCTTCCCACCACGGCAACCTTCGTTACAGTGTTTTGCATTCCGTCTCACTATTGTAATGCCAATCAATTCCAGTTCATGTGTATTGCGCCTTTCTTTTTCTTTGAGTTTTGCTTCTAACTCAGAATAGATATTGTAAGGTAATTTTTTATAAAGAACACAAATTTTACAAAGTAAAAAAAAAAATCACAAAAGTACTATTAAATACGGTGTTCAAATTTTAGTTTTAATCCAATTAATTCATCGTTGATTTAATTCGACTCATTGATTAACTTTTGAATTAATTTTGCCCAATTATAAAATTTGATCAATACAATTCAAAAATCGAATCAATTAAAATTTTAATAAAATATAAAAAAATCAATTATAAAATTAAAAACACATGAAATAAATTATTTATTTTTTGTAAGTATTTAACATAATATTTTAATATTTTTTTGAAAAAACTAATTTAATTTATTTCAAATATAAAAAAAATAATATTTTAAAATATAATTTAACTTAAATATATTTTATTATTCATTGACCTAAAAATTAATGAAATAATTAAATTTAGTCAGTTAATTTTTAAAATTAATAAATATGATATAATTAACAAAAATAAAATAGTTAATTATATTTTTTATATTTGAACTTTGAAAAAATATATAAATTAATATCTAAATAAATAAAATATACAATTTACATATTAAACTTTTGAATAATATAAAATTCACATCCTAAACTTTTAAATTATGTATTGTGTTAATCTAAATTCTAATATCATTAACTTAATTAACTATAAATATATATATATGATGTTTGACAAATATTATCAAACAAAAATATTTTTTATTTAAATCGTAAAATTTTTTTAGAATTGGTCAATCATTTTTTTATCACATGACATCCACACAAAATTTTTATAAAAATTTTTAAAACTTTTATTTAATAAATAATGTACATATAATAAAATTTTACCAGTTAGATATTATATAAGTGAGTTAAGTTAATAATATCTAAATTTATACTAAAATTATACATTATTTAAAAATTTAAAATACAAATTTTACATTTTATTTTTTTAAACATCAAATTTTGCATTTTTCAAAAATTTAAATACAAAACATATAAGTAATACAAAACAAAATAACATAATTTAATTAATTTGATTTTAAGTAATTCGATTCAAAATTAATCAAACTAATAAAATGAACACTTTTACAATCCAAGTAAATTTTTTTTGTTCAATATCCAACAAATACAATTACAATAAGTTTTTAAACAATTATTAGAAGTGAAAATATTAAGCAAAATAGTCAAAATATTTTTATCTTCCAATATGCAATAAAAAATTAAGTAAAAATTATCTAGCAAAATAAAATTTTTTAAAAGTAATTTAAATATGGGTTTGGGTGCAAAGGATAAGTAAAATAGAAAGAAAAAAAAAAACTCGATTTTTAAAAATTGAATTGAGGTCCTTTTGGAGTTACAAGAGTAAAAATTGACTTGATTTTGTTGTAAGTCTCTTCCATTATTAAGACCATAATGGCTCAAAAAAATTGAATAATAAGGGCACGAAAGTCAAAGGAGAAGGTGAGAATGAGATTGCTTGAGATAATGACATTTTTTAAAATTCAAAATGCAATATTTTTTATTATTTAAAATATAAATAATATATTAATATTCGTAAGTTATTTGAATATGATTCGAATAAAATTTAAATTTGATTTAATTATTATCGAGTCAAATTTAAATTTAAGTAATTTAATTTATTAATCGAATCAAATTTAAGTATTTTTATACCTAACTCGAATAACTTATAACCCTAATCAAATTTTTATATTTAAATATATTTTATTATTTAAATTAATAAAATGTCATAAACTCAAATTTTAGTTCGAGCATAAATAATTAAATTTTTATCAAATATAAAAATTAAATTAATTTTTACTTATTAATCGAACGAATTCAAATAATTTAATTTTTATCTCAAATTAAACTTAAATTAAAAAATAAAATTTAATCGAATTCAAATTAAATATCAAATTTTAAATCTTAAATTAAATTTAAACTCAAATTTAATACTTTATCAATTTAAATTCAATCAATTAAACCCCTTCATATCTTATGAAACATAAACAGACGTTCATAAATTTCTTCAACATTCAATGCATCATTCAAATATTCCAAGAACCAAATAGTCTTTTAATTTTTTATTTCCTTTTTTATACAGTACTTTTTTTCTTTCACTCTCTCTCTCTTTTTTTTTTTTTTTTTAATCTTATTCTCGTTTGTGCTTTTCCCATAGAGCTCTAAAATTAATTGCTCCCTGGCAATTTCTCCATTTTATCATCAATATTTATATTATAAAAAATATTAATAATTTATATATTTATATTATATTTTATATATAATTTTTATTGATATAAAAATATAAAATATAATTTTTTATTTTATTAAATTTATATATAATTTTTATTAAAATTTTAATTTATATCACATTCATATTTTTTATATTATTTTTAATTTATATCGTTATGTTATATTTTAAATTATTAATTCTAACAACTATAGTTGAAACAGCCATCGTCTCTCACACTTGAGTCAAGACTAGGTCACCTCTTCCAGTTTTTGCAAATTCAAAATTTTTAATTTTGAGAAGAAAAGGACAAATGATCCTTTTATAACCTTTCAAGTCACGGTACCAAAATACCAATCCACCAACCGCCAGAAAAAATAAATAAATAAAAATAAAAACTACTTATTGACTTCCATGTGAAAGCAACTTCTTTGCTCCCAATTAAAATGCTTCGTACGGAAAAGTTGGGATGGGTTACGGACGAATTAAAATGCTTTATTCTGTTTCGAAACACAAATAATATATTTTATTATTTATATAATTATATATTATATTAATAAATTTATTATTAAATATTTTAATTTAATAAAATATTATATTTATATATAATAAAAATATAATTTATATTAAAAAATAATATTTATTCTCCCTTCTAGATTTATATTAATAAAAGATATGTATTTGTATAAGTTAAATTCAATCTCCCGAGCTTGTAATTTTTTTTTTAATTTCTTTAGATTGTCGTTTTTATTAAAAAAATAAACTTGATAACATTTTATTTACAATTATTTTTATAATAATTTTACAATTATATAATTACTACAAAAAATTATGTAAATTTTCACCATATTATAGAAGTGTCTTCATATATTATTTTCATATATCATAAATAATTCAATTCATGATTATGCATGATATGTTTTTTATAATAATTTAAAATTATTTTATAATTTTGATGAAACATATTTTATGAGTGATTGATTAAATAGAAGTAATAAATTTTTATTATAATTTTTAAATGAAAAATAATTAATAGGCATGTATTTTGATTGAGATCTTGTTTTAAATATCATAAACTTTCTATTCCAATCCCTTATCGCAAAATTTAATTAAAAAATTATTTATCATAAGTTATTTTGAAGTATATGATTTAAGAGTAAAATGATTGTTTATTTTTCTTTTTATTTTTGTAAAATAAGTGTGCTTTAATAATGTACTAATATTTTTCTATTATTTGTAAATTTTTTCACTATTCTTATATTATGATTACCTAAAATAAAAAAAAACAACTTAGAGAAAATAATATTGAGTCAAAGAAATGAGGTTTTAGACAATTGATGAGTCTTAAATATGGTTGACAATGAAGGGGTACAACTAATCAAATTAGAAGAAACTTCCTAGAAAATGATCTTCTAGGCTAAGTAGAAGTGCAAAAAGTCCAGCCTTGGCCTAGTGGAAAAAAAAGGATCAATCAAAAACAAAGTCAGAACTTGATTCAAATAACATGCAAAATAAAATTAAGTTAAAAAAATCATAAAATATCCATTAAAAAATTATATTTCCATAAAAAACAATTACAATACCAATAAAAGAAAGCATTATCAAACAAAATAAAAACTAAAAACTGATTGTCATCAAGATCAAAACATACAAAAACAAAATCTTTCAAAAAAAATATATTTAAAATAACATAAATCTCACAACAAATATTTTATACGAACTAAAAATAAAAAAAAACATAACACTGAAAAAAATATTGTTCAATAAAAAAACAAAAAACCACAAAAACCCAAACCCCATTCAACAATTCAACTTCATTAAACAAAATTGAAGTTTATAATCCTAAAATCATCCCAACATAACCAAAAAAAAAAAAAAAGAAAGATTCAATTAAACAAAAAAAATGCAAAAAAAATTTACTCAAAAAAGCATAAAAAAACGAAAGAAGAAAAAAAGAACAACAAAAACATACCAGCGAAGTCTATCTATCACGCTTTCCTTCCTTCAAACCACCTTTAATACCAGTAATAATGAAAAAGAAAAAAAAAAGCTTTGAAAAAAATACACATGTCAGCCTGCTTAAGTGGTCCATTGTTAAGTGGTAGCTTCATTTCTGCTTGGCTAATTTCCTGTCAACTAAAAACGTTTTACGAAAGAAAAAAAAGGTATACATGTAAACTTAGAATCTCTTAAGGGATTTTTTTTATATAGAGTAATATTGATTTTTATAAATAAAAAACTTGTATTATAAATTCTTCCTTTTTTCCATGTATTAGATGATGCTAATTAAGCTTAGCTCAATCGGCATGAGGTTTACTACAGTTGAAAGGTGGTCACGATTCAAGGTATAATGGCTTCCCCATAGGTAAGTATGATAAGTAGACTAAAAAATTAAAGAAAAAAAGTTATATGGAAATTACCATGAGTGATGCTAGGAATGTAATCAAGTTAAGTTAATATTGTGAGAAATTCAAAACTCGTTACTTGAAACTCGATTAAATTTTAACTTTTAAATTTGAATTTGATTGAAGATAAAAATCAAATTATTTAAATTTATTTGATTAAATTTATTTATTAAATAAAAAGAGCTCGATTTCAAATTTGATTATTTATATTTGAATTCAAGCTCGAATTGATATATATAAAGGTAAAATTATAACTTTCTAATTAAAATAATAACAATATATATTGAAATATAAAAATTTGAGTAAACTCATGAATTACTCAAGTAAAACATTAAAATACTTAAATTTGATTCGTTCGATAAATCAAATTACTCAAATTACTTAAACTTAATTCAATAATAATTGAATCAAACTTAAATTTTGTCCAAACTATACCCGATAACTTGTAATGACAACTGTATCGGTTACACCTAAATAATGGGTGGTGGGTTTAATGAGTTTGGAATTGGTCGGTTGCAAAAGATTGGATGTTCGGTTTGTGCTTCCTCTTTTTTCTTATTTTAATTTTTGCACTTCTTTCCTTTGTTATAAAATTTTAAAAAGTATACCAGTTAAAATGTTCACGTGATGTTGTAGGTAAAATTTTGTTTATTTTTTATTTTTATTCATCGAATATTTTTTTCAAAAATTATCTAATTAAAAAAATAAAAAAAATGAAAGGTAAAAATACAAATTGGAATAACATGTGAATATCTTAATTTTTAATTTACATTTAAATAAGTTCTTAACCTTTAACTTTTATAAAAATGAACACTTAATATTTAATTTGTATTTAAATATATCTTTAATATAAATAAAATTTTCAGTACAAAAAAATTATAAGATTTATTTAAAAAAATGAAAAAATTCAAGGTTTTTTAGTATTTTATTCAAAACAATAAATTTTTAATTATTAAAAAATTAATAAATATACTTTAATTTCAAATAATTAATTTTTTTTATAAATATACATATTTTACCTATTAATTATTATATTTTTACTAAAAATTCGAAAGCAAAAATATAATACAAATAAAATCTAAAATAATTTCTATTAATAAAAGAAATTTAACCTTAGGCGTAGCCAAGCATTAAAGAATTGGGATTGGGATACCTTTGCATTAAAGAATTAGGATTGGGATATCTTTGCATCTGTCAAATTGGTCGGCGAAATGTTAGAAAATTTTATAGAGACGAGACTTCTAGGTAGTGTTTTTGTTTCAAAAAATATAATTATTTTTTAGTTTTATTTTTTAAAAAATAAAAAATATGAGTGGAAGTGTGTTTGATAATTGAAAATGAAAATAAATTTTTAAAAATTAAAAATGAAAATGAAGAGAAATATGAAAATAAAAAAAATAATTTCAGTTATGAAAATAAAAGATCTACTTAATTTTTTCCTTATGTTTTACAAGTTACTATATTTAAAATTTTTTTGTAATGTCATTAATTAATAAATATATATTATATTTATAATTAGATGCCATTAATAGTAATATTATTAAATATTTTATTTATTTATTTATTTTTGTATTTTTAAAGAATAAATTTTATTGTCGTTTATCAAATATATTTTAAAAAATAAAAAATAGAAAATAAAAACGATTTTTTAAAAAATGAAAATAAAAAATAAAAAAAAATATTTTAAAGATTCCCTCTTATTTATTTTTTTTTTTTACATTATTAAAAATATAAGATTTTCGACATAAAAAAATAATTTTCAACCAAACTAAAATATCAGATTATGAAGAATAAAATTTCGACAAGAAATTCTACCTCTCAAGACCAGACAATCCTTAAAATATCAATGTTAATCTAAAAAATATATTTTTATTAATTAATATTTAATTTTTATAAAAATACTTAAAAATACATCAAGTCAATAAAAAAAAAATTTAAGATCGTTTGAAAAAGTCTTTACAAAAAGCGAAAAAACAAAAGCATTTGTATGAAATTATAATTGCACATTTATGACTTGAAGTAGTTTGGGCATCTTTGCGCCTATCAGTTTGGGCATCAGTTTAACATCTAATTTGTTGGATAATGAAGGATAAAATGGATCTAAAATAATAATTTTTTAGGTAAAATGGTGAAAAAAAAAGATTTAAGGCGAAATGTAAAAGAACTTTATGGAGAGGAAGATTTGAATTTGATTTTTGATATTGATGGATAATATTTTTACCGCGAGAGAAAATTTTTCAATCAAATTAAAATGTTATATAACATTTTCAGCTTTTTGAACTAATAATTAAAATTTTTTTAAAAAAAATATAAAGTCCGAGTTTGAATTTTAGCATTTATATCTCTTACCTTTAATTTAATAGATAAAAAAAATTTGATTAAAAAATATAATTTTGATATAAAAATTCTATTTCACAAAACCTAATATTGTCAATGTTAATCTAAAAAAAAATATTTTTATCAATTAATTTTTAATATTTATGAAATACTTAAAAATGCATCAAATCAATGAAAAAAAATCAATACAAAAAGGGGCTTAATTGTACTTTAAAGAAACAAAGGCATTTGTACGGAACTACAACTGCATATTTAGGTTGAAAAGTAGACAAGGTCAAAGAGGGACACGTAGCAAATAGTTGACCAAGTCGGTTAAAGACTTTAAGCCAGTTGACAATGACGCTCCTCCCACCACATCGCTTTCCTTTCTGTTTCCTGTTAGAAAATTTTAAGAAACTCGTCTTTGATCCAAAAAAAGTGAAAATGAAATATGAGAAGTCAGTTTTGGCCAACTACTTATGCCCAATGCATCATAAAACACTTCAGAAACTGCGTACGCATTCATTCATGGACTTTGAATTCTTTCTTTCTTGCTTTCTTAATTGCTACCCTCTCTGATCAGATAATTTCTTCCAACTACCATTCCTTTTGCTTCCCCGTGTTAAGGTTAGTTCAATTTTCTCTTACGGGTTACTTTTCTGATTTCCTGATTATCTCTGTGAGTTTTCTTTCTGGGTTTTTCTTGGTTTTGTTTGTTGTCCCTTTTTTCTTGTTTAATCATGTAATTAATAACTTGAACTTTAATAGTTTGGTTAATGGATTTTCCTTTATGGATTTTATTTATTTTACTTTTTTTTCTTCATCTTTAGCTAGTAGGCTGATTATCTATCAGTTTTCTTTCTGGGTTTTGTTTCTTGTCTTTTTGTCTTATTGAAGCATTCATGTAGTTATTATACTTGAACTTGGTTTGATCGGTTCATAAGTTTTGCTGGTTTTGATGGGTCATTTTATTTTTCTATTTTGGGAATTTTCTGGCATAATTTCCTTTTTGCTTGATTTTTAATGGTCAAATGAGCATAAATTATCCATTTAAGATCAAATTAGAGCTATCAGGTGGCTTCTAGTCTCTAATTTTCATCATGTTTTTTGCTCATAGCAGTCTTTATTTATGTTTAAGGAGGGGCTAATTGCATGGCTAGGAATTTGATACACCACTTTTAGTGGTATTATTTCTTTTGACTTATTTATTAGATTTTTGCTTCCTGTAATTTAGTCAAATTTCCCCTTGTTACTTCTATCTATGATCACCCTAGTTCTCAATTGCTAGAAATATGCAATGAGTTATGATTAATGAGAATTGGATCTTGTTTAGAATCTGGTTTCAGGAGCAAGCCTTAATGGTTGTCGTCATAAGAAGCAAACTTTGTAAAGTTGCGCTAGTGCCATAGCTGATGACGACATGATATTAACCAAAATTTAGGAAATCAAGATGCTTTTAGAAATTTATATATGACTTCTGAAGTCAGTATGGACTAATTAATGCATTTCTTGTTAATGAATTTGTCTATATGATGATATAGATGGTACGGAAACTCGTTAAAATTTCCTTTTTCTAGAATCTTGGTGTGAAAAACTAGAATTTTGAAGTAAAGGGCATCATGCCATCATGCAGGACGTATTCAATGGCATAATATACCAATGCAGGTGAATAGATATAGTCTATAGAGGTGGCATGAATAAGACTAGTTGAGGGAAGTTGATTTCTATTATTTTCATGGAATGAGGTCCAAGAGTGTGTCTATTCTAGGCCTGCAAGGAGTAAGTAGGAACAATAACTCTTCCAATTAGGGATATTGATTAATCTATGTTTAAAAGGTATAATATTTGTGATTTGATACCAATGGCTTGTTAAGTGCAGCAAGGTAACCCTACATTGTACATTATAGAAGGCAATGTTAATTGCTACCTGCTCAAAACTTCTAGGTTTCTTAAGCTTTTTTATGAATTTACTAGATTTATTTAATTGGTACTGATTAGAAATATATAGAAAATTTAGAAGATATTAGTGAAATAATTACTGACATTCTAAATTAACCTAAATGATGAACATCTACAGGTTTGTGAATGTGCTTAGCTACCATGAAATTTGGTGGATTAGTTCTAATTGAGCATGGATGACTGCATCAATGCCTTCCTTAATGATTTTGATATTTCGTTCCATAGAATTATGAGGATGAAATTAAGTGTTTCCGATGGTTTTTTTGGCAGGTCTTAGAACTGCCCTGGTACAAAGCACTGGTTGAATATAAAAGAAAACTGGTCAATGGTGCATCATAAACATATGACTTGTTTTTCTTTCTTATTCCGTAGACATATTGATTCATCAAACAAATGGTCTTTTGAGGTTGATGAAGGTAAGTCAGAAGCCTTCTTCTTATAATTAGAAAACTTTTATACTGTCATGTCCAATTAAATGAAGGATGGCTAATCCTTCATATCCAATACTACTAAGCCTTATCATTGAAGTCCATTGCACGAAATAATTTCCTCCATTATATGTACATCAATCAATGTGATTTGCTCTACCTCTACTGTCTTCATGTTAAATAACTTTGTCTAAACTGTTACATCACTAGATCTTTGTAGTACATGTGCAAATATTTTACATAGGTTTGTCCTGTTTTTATTTGCTCCTTTTACAAGTGATTTCATCTCTTTTTTTTTTTTAATTTAAAAGAAAAAAATTATCCTTTCTAATATCAACTTAAACATTAGTATTATTTTTTATTTAAACATTGTTGTTTCAGCAACAATCATGTTGCGAATATTGTTTCTTCAGCAACATGAATCTAGGACGCTTCTAAAATCACTGAATATTCCAGTTTCGATCCTTCAATGCCTCCTGCTGTTTTAATCCTGTCAATAAATCTTCTCCGATCTCTGTTTCATTGTGTATGATAGAACCTATGCACCATAATGCTAACTTGTAGAAATTTCTTGACCTTCAATATCTACTCTTCCTACCTTGCCCTTGGTATGTTCTATATTTCTATGTTCTCGTTTATTTCAACTTGTGTTAGAAAAACCTCTTTGATTCTTGTGACTACTTTCCTTAGTTTCAGTTTTTGATTAAACCAAATGTATTATTCTGCCTAAAACTACATCAATAGGAAAACTTCTAATCTACTTTTTTCTTCTTTTATGAACAGAATTTGACATTCACAATGTAAAATTTTACACATACAAAGAATTAAGAATTGCTACTGAAGATTTTAGCCCTGCAAATAAAATTGGAGAAGGAGGCTTCGGTTCTGTCTATAAGGTATGTATGCTGTTTCAATATATAGAGCATTGCTTACTTGATCCATTGTCTTCTTTATGTCATTTTGCGAAAGGAACCTCCTTCATTATCATTGTGGATTTCCAGGGGAGGCTTAAAGATGGGAAGATTGCTGCTATAAAAGTTCTTTCAGCTGAATCAAGACAGGGAGTGAGAGAATTTGTGACAGAGATTAAGGTGATCTCAGAAATAGAGCATGAAAATTTAGTCAGGCTCTATGGCTGTTGTGTTGAAGATAATCACAGAATCTTGGTCTACAACTACCTTGAGAATAATAGCCTTGCCCAGACTCTTCTTGGTAATTTGTTAATTTGTTGTAATGTTGGAAGTTCAGTTTATTGTTTATTGAGGCCATTCTTCATACCACAGAGTGGTAGTTCCATCCTAGAACTATATATTTTGCATTATATTTTACTCTGCATTTTGATGACATGACTGTTCCCACTTTAATCAAGATGTCCCAAAAAAGTTGTGCAAAACTAAAATTTAAGTACTAAATATTATCAAACATCCTTCATCCAACTATGCCTTTCATTACATGAACTACTTACAGAGGAAAAATGAAAAACATAAGGTATCCCTTTTATGAAAGGCAAAATTTGATTATTTTGTCAATTCTGTTTAGTCCGACTGTATTTAATGTGCTTCCTTTTGATCCTTGAAATTTTCAAAGAGGACAGCTATTTGGGATAGTAGGAGTACTTTTTTTCTTCTTTTTCTTTTTTAAGGAATCCTGCATTATTTAAAATCTTAACCATAGAAGAAGTGTATTCAAACTGTGCTTGCCTAATACAGTTTAAATCACATTGAAGCTGAGAGCAATTAAAACCTTTTCTTTTACAGGTAGTGGTCGAAGTAATATCCAGTTTAATTGGAAAACACGGTCTAAAATATGCATTGGGATTGCACGTGGGCTTGCTTTTCTTCATGAGGAAGTACGGCCGTACATTGTTCACAGAGATATCAAAGCAAGCAATATTCTTCTTGACAAAGACCTAACACCCAAAATATCAGATTTTGGCCTGGCAAAGCTCATCCCAGCAAACATGACTCACGTCAGCACTCGTGTGGCTGGAACAATGTAAGGCTCCAATCTTCCTGTTACTTGTTCAAGTTTAACAATAGCTTCAAATATATTTTTAGTTTTGAATTAGCACTGAATATGATATTATCATCCAAGTCGGTGAAGTATTGGTGTTAAAAGCATACTTAAACAAAATTTATCAGTTTTTTTTGCTGTTGGAATTTCTGCTTTATCATTATAGAGTGGGTTCATTATTCTGAGTTTAGTAACTAATGGATAATATTTTCTCCATGGCAATAAGAATATACAAACATCATTTGATTATTCAATTTCATCTTAAAAGGTTTTAGGTTTCTGAAACTATCCTTTGCGGATGGAGAAAGGAAAAAGTGAGGCAACTTTGGACAACTAGTGTCTAATATGTTTTGGCTTTTCTAGTTGGGCAATCATTTCAGACACCCAAAAAATGGATAGGTGAAGAATAGTGGAACAGCAAGAGCAACAAGAAATCCTCATTTTTTTTTGGCCAGAGAGATCCTCTTGTTTCGATAATCATTTAGTTAAAGTTATGATGATATGTAGTACAAGAGGTCTTTATTGATTATGTTAATTAAGGCTTCTTTTAGGTATGGTGATATGACTTCAACAAAATCCAATTGAAGTTGGTTCTCTCTTTAAATTAGGTTCTATTTTCAAGTAAGCTGTTCTTGTCATGTTAGCAAGTGTATGATCTTTGTGGCTAGCTGTTGTTAGATTTATTAAGTTAAGCATCTGTCATACTATAGGATTGAATTTTTGTGCATAGTTGCTAATCAATCAAAATTTTGCCTCTCTCTCCCTCAAACTTTATGGTTTCAGAAAATATTAACTGTCATTAATTATTTCATTCACTATTTTAGAGGTTATCTAGCACCAGAGTATGCAATAAGGGGGCAGTTGACACGAAAAGCAGATATTTACGGTTTTGGCGTTCTCCTCATAGAAATAGTCAGTGGCAGATGTAACACAAATACACAGTTACCTGTAGGAGAACAATACATCCTAGAACGGGTATGCATTTGAGTCTTTTCCATTATGTTGCAAATTTTGTTTACTGCAATTATTTAATAATGGAGCTTGACCTGTGAGTTACTGGTTATGGCACTTCCTTTCAGTTTATGCTCAGAGATCATCAAGCACTTATGAAATGAGCAAGGATAAAGATGTTCTAACTCCTTAAAATATTATTAATTTCATCTAACTCCTTAATCTTTTGATTAAAAAAAAAATCCTTGAAAAACTATTAGTTGTTACATATTATAATTTTGCATTTAGCTGCATCCTAGTAAATTTGTGATTTCTCCTCTATTAAATCTTGTCTTGTTTTTACATGGCTGGAGCTTAGTTTCAGAAATTATTTCAGCCTTGGAATTGAAATAAGTGATGTTTGTGAATAGAAGATCAAAGAATTAAACCACTGAGATGATTTCTTTGGAATATTGGGCATCGGCATTAAGTTTCTTGTTAAAGCATGTTATTTCCTTATTTTGGATAAGATCGTCGATATCTTGCCTGTTTATAATATTTGGAATATAGAAAATCAATTTATAGTCTTGTCCATGATGAATGAAAGATAGTGTCAATCTCCTCAATGTCAGAAAACTTGTTTTGAAATTCTGCAAATTACATATCGGAAAGGTTTGCGGTTCATGACATATACTGATCTCTTGTTGCAGACATGGGACCTTTACGAGCGAAGGGAGTTGGTTGGGTTGGTTGACACATCGTTGAATGGTGATTTTGATGCAGAAGAGGCTTGTAGGTTCCTCAAGGTCGGTCTTCTTTGCACCCAAGATACTCCTAAACTCCGGCCGTCTATGTCATCCGTGGTCAAGATGCTAACTGGCCAGAAGAATGTTGCTGAGAAGAATATAACAAAGCCGGGTTTGATTTCTGATTTTATGGACCTCAAAGTGCGAAGTTCTGAGAAAACCAAGCCAGAAACCAAGTATACATATTCGTATATTGCTTCCTCTAGCTCAGACAACCTAGACAATTCAACCCTGTCGTCAGGAACCTCAACTTTTGCAACTATGACCTTCAATGCTCTGATCAATGACCGCAGTGTTAAACATTGAAGCAAACGAATTTGTCAAATTTTATTCATTCTATTCTATTTTGGGTTTTGAAGCTTGTTGTTTTGTAACGTACAAGTGTTCTTTTTTGTACTTCGTCGAATAGTCGTAAGTACGCTCTTGTAAATGTACCAGGTTTGGTAAATTTAAAGAAATCTTTGCAGAGTTGATCAATGATCATCGTTCCTTTTTGCCCCCATTCCCGATCCTTGGTTCTTCTGCAGTCCCTGTCACATGCAGGCATGCACACTAACATGATGCAACGTTGACGCTGTTGATATATCATATATTTGTAGATAACATCTCATGGTTTTATATTTGTAACTGTAGAAATACTTGATGGTTGAAATTCTCCACTTTTAATATAGCCATCAACCATTTTTTATTTATTTAGCACACTGCAAAACTTTTATTGGTGCTGAAATGGAAACAGAAAAAAAACTTTTCAATTCTCAAAGCAGAGGAATTTGAAGAGTCTGCATTTGCAATAAACAATAGGAGATTTTGAAAGCTGTGCCCTAGCCAATAAAGGAACACTTTGCTCTAGGAGCACTTGGTTAATTGCTTAGATTCAAGAGCTGACATTTAATGTCAGAAAAACCAAGCAATTCAACCACCAAAAAAGAGCTCAGTTTTCCAAAGCTAAAACCCTTTCTTTCTTCGAAAAATGGTCACTATCCTTTGTAAAATCCTGTAGCCTACTTTTTAATGCCTTATGGCTAAGCAAGTGAAATCAAAGTATGATAAATGTTGGATTAGTGATTTACCATATGTTGTTCTCTGTCGCATATTATCATTTCTTCCCACTGAAGAAGCAGTTCGAACTTCCATTTTATCAACCAGATGGAGATATCTATTTTCAGAGGATGACAGGAGGGTTAACAGCTTCATGAACTTTGTCGATAGGGTGCTGTTCTTCCATAAGGTGACAAGAATTGAAAGATTTCGACTCAGATGCAGTCATGGTGTCGACTCTTCTCGTGTATGGTTGGATATCTGCTGCATTGTGGCACAACTTAGAAGAACTTGATTTATGCATCTCCAGTAATGACGAGTTCATTTCGTTGCCTGTCGGTCTTTTTACATGTAAGATGCTGGTGGTACTGAAACTGGATTCATGTCTTGTTTTGAATGTTCCTTCTAATGTTTGTTTTCCAAGTCTGAAGACGATTCAGTACAAAAGGCTCCTTCTCAGGCTGTTCTTTGCTTGAACTCTTTGCTTCATCACAGCTGCAATTGCAGAAATTATAGCAAGTTAAGCTATCTTTAATTATACTCTCAAAAGATTGACTATACTTGGTTTGAGCGGACGGCATGAACCAAAGACAATCTTTTGGGATGGAGATCGATGCTCCAAGTCTTTCTACTTCCAATGCTTGGACTATATAGGCAGACTACTATTCCATTGCCTGAACTCTACATTCTCTGGTCGAGAGCCGATATTTACCTTTTTATTCTACATCAAGACGGAACTTCCTTGGAGGTGATCAACAGTATTCGCAATAAGAATTTTTAAGAAGTATTGTTTGTGTTCCAATGCTTCCTTATCCAATGAAGATCTGGAAGTTAGTAACATTGAACTAATTTTACTGATGCCATTAAAATTTGCCAACAGCCGCATGGCCCGATGGTAAAGTACCAGATTTTTAGTTTCCGTGACCAGCGTTCAAATCCTGATAGTCTCAATTTGAAGCTGTTTTATTAAGTGACGATTGTGATATAGATAAAATTTTCATCTTAATTTCAGCTGTTTTCTTACAAGCCGGTGGCTTTGTTTGATAAGTTGATCCATCTGGAGATTGTTTTTGCCCGCAACTAGTGTGTAGGGTGGATAGGTATTGCAGACATACTTGAAAACCACCTAATCTACAAACCCTGGTGCTCCATGAGGTATGATTGATTGATACATAACAACAGTTTCAGCTAACTATTTTTGACAAGTAAATTCAACTAAACTCTGATGAAGTTGCAAATATTTCTTTCTGTTTTGGGTTCAGCTAGTGAATCTCAGAAATCTATTCAAGAATCTACCTAGAAAAAGTACCTTATTGTCTGTTGTCTCAACTCAAGAAAATTGAGATGTGTTCGTTTAGAGGGGAGGAAGATGAGATGGAATTGATTAAGTACTTCCTAAAGAGTGCTAGAGTTCTGGAGAAGCTTATAGTTTACTTGAAGGTAGAGCTGGAAACAGAAGAGTTGAAGATTACCACAGAACTGTTTAAGTTACCAAGGGGATCAAGCAAATGTCAAGTCCAAATTATCTGATACTACATTCTGTTGATAAGTTTCTCAATCTTTTTGTTATTATGTAAGTTAAAACTAAGCAATTTCTTAAAAAAAAAAAAAAAGACTTTTAATTGAAGCTGAAATTGATGGAATCATTGGGTTCCAAGGGAGTGAGGTTTTAGAATACCTTCCGAAGAATGAAAATTATCTTGAAAAAGATACATGCATTTCCATGATGTTAGTTTGCATGATGAAACATAGGCATGATGTGCTAAAGCATTTCAGGCTTGTTATTGATGATGTTAGCAATGTTGGCAGAGACCCTTTAAAGCAAGTGGGTCCTAAATCCCTGTGGACATCATCTTACATGACTAAAGCTCTCCCTACTTATTTCTAACATTCCACAAAATCATAAATATACTTTGAAAATGTACCAAAAATATTAAAAACTATTATATATATTTATTTTGAAGAATGGCTTAAAATAAAAATATTTGTCATTAAATTAAATAATAGAACAAAACTAATCATTTTTGAATTATAATTATTTTACTAGTGTAATTTTTCTGTAAGCAAAAAAAAAAAAAAAGCATCTCCAATAGAAACTTTTTTTTGTCTGATGTCTATCTCCTTTACAACTTCCGCTCACTATCTCCTCTCTCTGTATCTTTAGAGTAACTTTTTCAAACTCTTTTCAACTCGGCCTCTTTTTCTCAGGGTCACAGGTACTCCCTGAGAAAACAAACCAAATAAGTTAAAACATAAGAAAGGAAATCTAGTTATATTATTGGGGT